TGGCACTTAGACTTATATACTGCTCCATTGTGCTTTACAGCAGTCTCCGAGCAGCTTAAGCATTATTTGCACATTGCCCCCAATAATCTGGGTCCTCGTTTTACCAACCTAGGAAGGATGAATCAATCTTGAGCCGGTCAGGATTGAACTGCTGGCAGTCAGCAGAGTTAGCCTGCAACGCTGCATTCTAACTACTGCGCTACCACAGCTCTTATTAGTACAATCTTATTTGTTTGACTTAGGTACTTCCTTAGGGAAGGGGAGAAGGGAGAAATACAACATGTTTTTTTTCCCTCTGTTACAACTGTGGGCTGCTAGAAGGGAAGGCAGATCATATCAGAGCATTGAAAAGGAAAGGAAAAATCAATATAGCAACATCACTGAGACTTACAGCCTTCTCTAAGCAGCGTACAGAGTCGGCCTGTTGCCCCCAACATTCTGGGTCCCCATTTTACCCACCTCGTAAGGATGGAAAGCTGAGTCAACCTTGAGACCTGGTGAGATTTGAACTGCCAAATTGCAGGCAGCTGGTAGACAGCAGAAGTAGCCTGCAGTACTGCACTCTAACCACTGTGCCACCATGGCTCATATCCAACCCACTTAATCAAAGCTCCTCCCCTTTCCTTTTTTTTTTTTATATGTGCCACGTGTAAAAAAAGAAGAGGTCTTGATCTCAGAGTTGCAGCTGCCATCTTGACTTTTTTTGACCCTGCTCCTGATCAATTTGGACCAGTTAAGGCAGTCTCTCTCTCTCTCTCTCTTAAGCCAGGATCATCCTCCTCTTCTTTTAATGACCCCATCATCCCTTGTGGGGTGGAGTCTGGGCGACTGAATGGAGCTGAGTGTTTACTGGCCGGTTGCCCTTCCTGTTGCCAATGAGGAGTTTTGTTCAGCAGATATATTCTCATTGTGCCCTGAGAGAGAAATATCTAACCTCTACCTAGGATTGAACTCACAGCCACCTGACTGTGAGGCGAGAGCTCCACCTCTAGGCCACTACACCGCTCCTCTCTTAAGCCAGGATCCTGCTCCAAATTTCCCCACTATTCCAAGCCAAAAAAGAAAGACCACGACAGATTTATTTTATTGGAAAATAATGTAATTCTTCTGGAAAAATTACAAGGAATGTATCAGCCATTTATTCTTGGATGCTGCTGCGAAGCCTTTCTTGGATTAAGAAACACCGACACCCACTTGCCGCCGATCAAAACTGACTTCACCGAGAGCGATGCTCTTAGCCTGAATTAGCTTTGCTCTCTGCCAGCACAGTTGTGGCACAGCCAGCTGCGATCAAGGAAAAGTGCATGTCTCCTTTTTTTCCCCCTCCAATATCTCCAAGCACGCAACTTTTTTAAAGGATGCAGAATAGGTTAATTGTGTCTATTTTTGCATAATCTCTTCGGTCTTCGTGCTTTTCTCATCGCAGTCACTACATTGGTGCAATTTTTTTTTAAAAAAAGCAGAGACTCGCACCGCTGTAGCTTAAACGTGCCCACGCTTTAAGGTTCACACTTCATATTGGGTGGCTTTCTGTACTAACTTATTGCAGTTTGTCTCTGTGTTTGTTCAATGGGCTGCCCGTCAAAATATCCCAAGGTGGTGTACAAAGCTATAAATGTGTAGCACGATCATTTTTAATAATCCAATAAGAAGCTCAAAGGAAAATTCATCCATTAGCCAGCAACATTAAAATGCTTCAAGCATCATTTCGAGGCACTGTTTTATCTTAGGGTAGTATTCTTCCTTCAGCAAAATGGGCGGCATACAAGTTCGATCAATAAATTATTCCACAAACTCTGCTTAAATTATGGCAGCAACTGGCTGATCTTGTGTGAACTCGGAAGCTAAGTGAGGTTGTACCTCGTTAGGACCAAATGAGAGACTACTAAGTATCCAGATTGATTAGAAGGTCAAAAAACAGCTTAAGAGAAAGCTGTAGGACCATTTCTAAGAGAGCCACTGGCTCTCCTGCTCGAGCAGGGGGTTGAATTAGAAGGCCTCCAAGGTCCATTGCAACTCTATTATTCTATGTTCTAAGTTCAGTATCAGTGGCGGGTTTCAAAATTTTTTACTACCAGTTCTGTGGGTGTAGCTTGGTGGGCCTGGCAGGGGAAGGATACAATAGAATCCCCATTCCCACCAGTGGTGGGTTCCTCCCGGTTCGGCCTGGTTCGGCCCGGTTCGGCCGAGCTGGTAGCGGTGACGATATGATGTCACCGAACCGGTTCTCTTTGTTCAGGAGCTGTGCCCCCCTGCCCTCTCCCGCCTTATTCTTACCTTTTATTTGGTCCCACCCCCCAATCTATTGCTGCCTCCCGAGTCCCAGCTGATCAGCTAGAAGGAAAAAAACTGTTTAAACTCTTGCCGCGGGGCTTCAAAGGGCCGCCCTACAGCTGATCAGTGTTAAAAGGCAGTGTGGTGGTAGACCGGTGCCTGCAAAAACGAATGAGTAGACTGGCACCTCCAAAAACAAATGAGTAGACCAGTACAGCTCTGCAAGCAGTTAAAAGCCTAGTAGACCAGTACCTCTGCTAAATCCTAAAGAATTATCACATGACCATCAAACCACGCCCACAAAATAAGCCACGCCCACAGAACCTGTAGTAAAAAAATTTAGAACCCACCCCTGATTCCCACCCTACTCCAGGGGAAAGTTACTGCAAAATCCCCATTTCCCTCCCAATCAGCTGGGACTTGGGAGGCAGAGAATAGATGGGGGCGGGGCCAGTCAGAATTTTTACTACCGGTTCTCTGAACTACTCAAAATTTCCGCTACCGGTTCTCCAGAACTGATCAGAACCTGCTGAAACCCACTTCTGTTCAGCATCCTCTGAATGTTGTTGCTTTTCTCAGCATGACAAAAACCATGTTGTGACATCAACCACACGCCTGGAGGGCGAGAGATTTTGTAACCCGTGTAGAAAAAGGACGGGGGGGCTTGTATTATGGTGCCAATGTTTCTTTCCTCAACCTGAACCCCTTTGTGGATGCCCCTTCCTGAAAGTGGCCATGAAATCTCCAGGAGCTGAGTTTGACTTGAACAGACGTTGATCTTTTCATTCGGCAACTGCTCTGCACTCAGGAGGCAATCCCATCGTTGGGATATCTCCACTGAGAAAGACCTGTTGCCTTGAGGGCGAATCTTTTCAGCACCGAGTGCCCAAACCAGAACGTGCATGCATGTGCGGGCATGTGCGCACGCCAGAGCGCCAGAAACCTGAAGACCAGCTGGCCAGTACATGTATGTGCGTGCCAGCCAGCTGGTCTTCAGGTTTCCAGCATGTGCATGTGCGCCAGCCAGCTGGTCTGTGCATGCGCTGGAGCACTGGAAACCCATAGATCAGCTGGCCTGCATGCCTGTTTCTTGGCCTCTTTTTTTTTGGCTGTTTTCAGACTGTTTTCTGAGCCACTTTTCAGGCAGCTTTGGGCCAAAAAACAGCCAAAAATGGCCAGAAAACGGCCTGAAAATGGCCTGGAAATGGCCCGGAAAATGGCCCAAAAATGACCTGGGTTTTGGCCATTTTCAGGCCAATTTTCGGCTCTCCAGTGCCTGTGAATACCAGCTGGCTGGCAGGCATGTGCGTGCCAGAAACCAGAAAAGTAGCTGGCGATGGCACGCGTGCCCTCAGAGAGGGCTCTGTGTGCCACCTCTGGCACGTGTGCCATAGGTTCACCATCATGGACCTATTGGATTCACATCCTGGGGGGCAGAATCAAGATGGGACCACAAACAGGGCTTTTGCTGGCATGGCTCAACCCAACAGTTGGTTGGCAGAGGAGAAAATAGAGGCATTGGTGACTGTGATCGATGCCCTGCCCTTGTTTTGACATGTGGTACATGCCAAAAGGGATGAGGACCTCCATCAGGTAGTCACAGCAGCCATTTTGACTTTTTTTTTAACTTTCTTTGCCAGGAGCCTTGGTAGTACAGTGGTCTAAGGCACCCTGTTATTAAGCTGGTTATTAAGACCAGCTGCCTGCAATTACTGCGGGTTCGAATCTCGCCAAGGCTCAAGGTTGACTCAGCCTTCCATCCTTTCTAAGGTAGGTAAATTGAGGACCCAGTTTGTGGGGGCAATAAGCTGACTTTGTATAAATATACAAACGAATGAAGGCTATTGCTTAGCGCATTGTAAGCCGCCCTGAGTCTCTGGAGAAGGGCGGCATGTAAATCAAATTTTTTAAAAAAAATGCCCCAAAAGGAAACGCCCTTCCAGAGCCTCTGCAACCATCCTTTTCACAATTTGTATTGTGGACGCGGACGCTGCCTTCCCTTCTCTTGAGTCTTTAAAGCTTATTTCGATGGGTTAGCTCGGCGTTTGAAAGAGCCTCTTTTCAATGGCTTTGACAACAGACCTGCAGGGTGGGAAGAAAAAGCTTAAATCACGTATAAAGACATTAAAATGATTGCACGGTAGGAAAATTGATTTTCAAAGCTAATATTTGAATGCCGGGTCTTTCCCCAGCTTCATGCCATTGCAATTTCACATGCCTGTTGGAATTGTATTTGCTTGAAATATAATAAATTAAGTGATTTCTAGTTCTCCTTGCCCTCAGCTGCTGCTTTCTGGTAGCAAAACTATATCTACACTGAGCCACAGTGGCGCAGTGGTGAGAGTGTGGTACTGCAGGCTACTTCTGCTGACTGCCGGCTGCCTGCAATTTGGCAGATCGAATCTCACCAGGCTCAAGATTGACTCAGCTTTCCATCCTTCCGAGGTGGGTAAAATGAGGACCCAGATTGTTGGGGGCAAGAGGCTGACTCTGTAAACCGCTTAGAGAGGGCTATAAAAGCACCGTAAAGCAGTATATAAGTCTAAGTGCTTTTGCTATTGTTAGATAACAGGAATCTTCTCAATTCAGCTGTGGTTCACCCAGACCATCTACCCAATGAGTTAAGAGTCTACTCCCAACCCAAATAAATTGGCACCACATAAAAGGATTCTGAGAAGTGCTATCCATTCCATCTTTGTGGAGAGGGAAAGTAGTATTGTCCCTGATCTTCAGAAATCTCTTGTTTCATTTTTTTCCCCCTTCCTTTTCTTTTTCAGGCAACCAATAAAGATGCAACTAAGATCAGCGTAAGTACCTATCAAAATGCGTGCATGTCTGCATGGGGTTGTTTGTCTGTCTAAAATATTGCAGGGGTCCCTCGAGGTTAGATTTCTATCTGCCCTGAAAACGGACAACGAGGCACCCAAAGGCAGCAGAAGTCATTGAACACGTTCGGGAAACGAATGCCTTTCTATCAATTCATTCCACGCTCGTTATCAATTAGCAGTGAGGCTTTTATAATTAGCTAATTGCCCTGCTGATAGAGCAGAGTCTGTCTTTGGCATGCAGATACTGTAGGTGACAGTTTGGGAAAGTCCACCTTCCTCCTGAAGTCTTGTTGATCTTCAGCTAGTAGAGAGACTAATTTGTCTCGGGGGTTTCTCATCTCCTCAATTTCTAGTCTCATCCCGTAATAGGCAAAGCCAAGAGATCAGGAAGCCACGTCCTCCCCCCCCCCAGGAGATGTTCAAAAGGAGATTAGACACTGTTGGGAGAAGCCAGGATAGAAAGCATGGATCTCTTCATTCTCTCTGTTGTGGACTGCCAGCGGCCAATGGAACTGGTAGCAGATTCAGACAGTGAGGAGGTTGGGGAGGAACATGGACCAGTCCTGGAGTCTGGGGAAGGCTCTGCCTTGGAGGCAGAGAGGGGGCCAGGGCCATATGCCAGTTATCAGCTGCCTTCAGAGTCAGACATCAGTGAGGCAGACGAACAGCTGGAGCCTGTTCCCAGTATGCATATGCACAGAGTTGCCAGACGAAGGGAACAGCTAAGGAACAAGGGTCGACTTGGCAGTAAGGCCACAGGTGGACAATGAATGGCCCCTCCCAGAGGGAATAAAAGAGTAGCAAAAGGGGAGGGGAGTTTGCAGGAGACAATTAGTTTGCCTAATTGGTTCATGACTCTCTGAGGCTCCTTGCCAAGTTTTGAAAATGTCGGCCTGGCAGCTCTCCAAGCCAGATAAGGTCTGTGACTGCAAATTCACCCTTTGCTGGATGCAAATGAGAAGAATTCACAGTAACTTAATAAAAAGGGGTTTTTGTTGGGATAAGGAGTCTGCTTCGTAGTTTGGGTCAGAACACTCTTCCTCTCCATCCAGTAGGAAAAGGGTAGATCATTTTGCCCTAAGCTTACTCTAATGACTTGTGGAGCACTTTTGAAACTGAGTCAAGGACCATCTGAATTTAGACCAAGGGCTTCGTGTAGAGGTAGGGCCACCAGCTGCCTACCTGAGGAGCAGATTATATTTATACATTCAGAAGAATTAAAATACTCTCTCCTTTCTAAGCTTGTAGCGCTTCGAGGTGCAGATGAGAATTCTACCTATTTGGATGAAAATGCTGGGGTTTTGTTTCAATGGCAAAAAAATATCCTCCCCATTAATGGAGAAAAGAGGATTCCAAGAAACATATGGCCCCACTGTTTTTACTAAAATCCGGAGGCATCTTTTTCATCAGAGTTTTGCTAAGGTTTCATCTTGTACTTAAAGTCTTAAATGATTGGAGAAATGGTAGGACAGATACAGAACACCGTACAGCTAAGGCTGAGCCTTTTACTCCCCCAAAATACAATGATCTGTGTAGCCTGGAGGGAATAAGTTTAATGGATATTCTTAGTACCTCCATTCTTTTATTCTCACTTTTCTTTCTTTCTTTCTTTCTTTGTTTCTTTGTTTGTTTGTTTCTTTCTTTCTTTTGTTTCTTTCTCTCCTTCCTTCCTTCCTTGTATTTACCTTCTTTCCTATCTTCATATTTACCTCCCTCCCTCCCTTCTTATCTATCTATCTATCTATCTATCTATCTATCTATCTATCTATCTATCATCTATAGATTAGATTAACAGAGTTGGACGGGACCTTATAGGTCATCTAGTCCAACCCCCCACCCAAGCAGGAAACCCTACACCATTTCTGACAAATGGCAATCCAATCTCTTCTTGACAGTCTCAAGTGCTGAAGCTCCCACAACTTCCGAAGGCAACTTCTGTTCCATGGGTTGATTGCTCTCGCTGTCAGAAAGTTCCTCCTTATTTCTAGGTTGAATTTCTCCTTGGTCAGTTTCCATCCATTATTCCTTGTCTGACCTTCAGATGTTTTGGAAAATAGCTTGACCCCTTCTTCTCTTTGGCAGCCCCTTAAATATTGGAAGACTGCTATCATGTCTCCCCGGTCCTTCTCTTCACTAGACTAGCCATGCCCAGTTCCTGTAACCATTCTTCATAAGTTTTAGTCTCCAGTCCTATCTATCTATCTATCTATCTATCTATCTATCTATCTATCTATCTATCCAGTATCTATCATCTATCTATCATCCATCATCTATCTATTTATCTATCTATCTATCTATCTATCTATCCATCCAGTATCTATCATCTATCTATCATCCATCATCTATCTATCTATTTATCTATCTATCTATCCTTCTTTCTTTCTTTCTTTCTATTTCCCTTCCCTCGTTTTCTTCCTTCCTTTTCTTTTCTTTTCTTTCTCTCTCACTCTCTCGCATGACAGCTAAATAATTCAGATACTGTAATGAATGCCAACTTTAAATTTGTGTTGTGTGTCATTCTGGTTTCCAAACTGCTTTCTCTTCTTCTAACAAAAGGATCACATACTCTTTTGGGCCTGCTGAGTGAGCTGGCATGAGTTTGTCCTGTTGCTGATTGCACCTTAGACTTCAGGGGCTAATCCATCATTCACCCACCTCTGTCTAGTTCATTTAGACTATATTACAATGGAACTACGCTTGTTGATTTGAAACACCCTTCTGTTATATATATATATTGCACTACTCTTTGTCCCTACTTTAAGGTGCAGCTTAGTCATGCTAGCTAAACCCTGCCAGGCCCTGCTTTTGAAGTTACGAGCTATTCAAATACAGGAATAATAATAATAATAATAATAATAATAATAATAATAATAATAATAATACCCTCAAAAAATTGAGGTGTGCCATTTTTTTCATCTGAAGACAACAGAAACAACGTAAGATCCAGGTTTTAAGTGGAGAGCAGCTAGACAAAAACTAGATTTTATTTTACATTTACATTTCATTAAATTAACAGAATGCGGTTGATACGTTATACGTTGAATAGGGTGAAGACTTGAATTGGTCTCTTCTAGCTGTGTGATGCTATAATTCTGTGGATTCCCCCCAAGGCATTTCAATGTTTCCTTTCTTTTGTTCTTTTTCTTTCCACCTCTTTCTCCTTTTCTTTTTTTTTTCCCCTTTCTTTCTTTCTTGGAGGGGGAAAAAAAAGGAGAAATCTTGGGCCGGCTGAGATTTTTTTTTTTTTTTTGGTGAGCTTTTGCAGAGAGGATTAAATGCAGACACTGTATTGATACTTTATTGAGGAGAAACGAGCCCTGGGTTTAGTCTGGAGAACAGAAAGCACAGAATGAGTGTCTGGATGTGATTGGATCCTTTTCTTTCTGTAAAAGGATGAAGACAGGATTTTAAAAAGCCCCAGCACGTTGGGGGTTGATATTTTGACAGGTGATATATTTTAAATGCATTGTTGCTGGAAAGGGGAATGGCGAGGATTAACGACCCCGGCTGTTGACTGTAGTAGAGAGATGCATTTAATTAAGGGAAGAAGGAAATGGAATTAGTAGCTGATTTTGGAGGAGAGAACCCAGTGCTTTAGAAATAGTCAATGTGGGGCTGGAGAAATAGAAATGGACATAAGCAAAGACTAACAATGTCGAGGCATTTCATTCGGGAGAAGGGCAAGTCAATTTGGAAGATGAAGAGCACCCTCAAAAGGTATCTTTATGTTAGCTTAAACTAGATGAATCAAAGAACGGTTTGATTTTTTCAAGGCATGGAGGTTTTTTTTAGTAACCCCATCGTGAACATTGCTCGGGTTTTTTTGGTCTCTGTAAATAAACCAATCTTTGCCATTTTCGAATCTTGATTTGTGCCTTAAGGCAAGGTGGGAATGTGTTTGTCCTCTGTTTCATAAATCACAGTAAAACAAGCCGGGGTTTAAGCATAATATGTCAACCTAAAATGTAACAAAAGAGAAGAAGTAAGGTTCAAGCTCCTTGAGAAATTGCCCCTTCTGCCTTGGAAGTCCTGAGTCTGGTTCTTTCCTGTACTGGGAACATTTACAGTCATGTGAGAGGGAGATAAAAAGAGCTTTTGCACTTAATTGGGGGCATTTTTGTGTAGAATGCATTAGAGCTTTTCAACTTTTCTGACACTAAAACAGATTCTGAGATGGCAACGTTATTTGTTATAGCTTTCAGTGAAATTCAGGTTAGTGCTACAAATCCTTCTCTGGTTTATCCATCCATAAAGAAAATAGAATAGAATAGAATAGAATAGAATAGAATAGAATAGAATAGAATAGAATAGAATAGAATAGAATAGAATAGAATAGAACAGGAGAGAGAAGAATAGGATAGGATAGGATAGGATAGGATAGGATAGGATAGGATAGGATAGGATAGGATAGGATAGGATAGGGATAGGGTGGAGTGGAGTGGAGTGGAGTGGAGTGGAGTGGAGTGGAGTGGAGTGGAGAGTGGAATGGAATGGAATGGAATGGAATAGCATAGCATAGCATAGCATAGCATAGCATAGCATAGCATAGCATAGCATAGGTGAGGTAAGGTGAGGTGAGGTGAGGTGAGGTGAGGTGAGATGGAAGGGACCTTGGAGGTCTTCTAGTCCAACCCCCTGCTTAGGCAGGAAACCCTACACCACTTCAGACAAATGGTTATCCAACATCTTCTTAAAAACTTCCAGTGTTAGAGCATCCACAACTTCTGGAGGCAAGTTGTTCCTCTGATTCATTGTTCTGTCAGGAAATTTAGATCTTCCTCCACTAAAAGCCAACCTCCTTCAAACCATAATCATTTGCTGTGGTCAGGAGGAGGAGGAGGAAGAGGCTTTAAAATTGAGGAGCAGATATGAATGACCTATGAAGATGGAAACGTTTAAGCAAAAAATCCCTAATTTCGTAGAAAGGATGGCAAAGTTTTCAACCAGGTTTCCTGGAGAGCATCATACACTGAATTGGAGCGTGTGTGCAAAATGCCAGAAAGGCTATGATAACGCGATTTGAGATGCACTGCTAGAAGCCATCTTATTTTCAAACCATGTGATGACAGGATGTGGATCAGAGGATGGATTTTGCAGAGAGATTTATCGTATCCCTCCATAAAAAGGCTGGGAATTTGAGAATTAAGAGCGCTGATAAAACGAGAAGGCAAGAGGGTGGCAATAGAAAGAAGCATTATGGAAGTGCTGCTTGTGTAAAAATCTGCGATATTAGCAAGACTAACTTTATTTCTTGCTACCTCTCCCAGCCCTTGAGACCATCCTACTGTATGATTAGTAGATCTTTGGTCCATGAAATGGACTTTGAATTGCACAACATGTTGCCTGACTGCTTAATTGTCTCGCCTCATTAAATCTTCTTTAGATTTGACTGCACAGAGCAATTTATAACTAAGAGAAAGCTATGGAGAAATAAGGCCATCTCACCCTCTCAAACCACAAAAATAGAACTGCGTACTAGGACAAATGCATTGTGGGATCAGCTTCAAAAAAGGAGGCAGGGTCACAGCACAGAAGAGGAAGAGCCAGTGATGACTTGAAACACAATGTCATGCCTGGGAGATTCCATGGGAGTTCTGGCTGTGGAGACAGAAGGTCCAATGCTCAACGCAATGATAGCTTCAAAAAGATCTAATAACCCATGGAAGATCAGCAGTCAGAAGCCCATCAGTGTGGTTCCCACTAGAGTGCCTTGGACTCAATGATCCATAAGCCCCAATCGGTGTTCCTGCCTACTGGAAAAAAAAACAACAACATTGCACAGTTCAAAATATCTGGAGGGTGCTGGATGGAGGAGGGCTACTAGGGAAGGGAGCTCATGGTTTGTAGAACTGTATCGTGTAGGCATGGAATGAGTTGGCAGAAGCTGCTTCTGTCCTCTTTCCATGTTGCATGTTGCTCTGATGGGAAAGTGATCTTACTGTCCGCAACCTGCAGGTTTCCTGAGGCTTTGTTCTGCCTAAAGAAAGAGTATTTATCTGCTGTCTACTAGGAAGCAAATCCCCTTGAGTTCAAGCAGGAATAGGGAGAGCACCTTTGGGCATTAGGTGTGATGAACATCAATAGGTCTTGCTTTGCCTCCTGTGATTTCCCCTTGGCTTAATGGTGGAGACTCTAGAGAGGACGAGAGTCACCTGAGACCCTCCCTCTTATGTCACCACTGTTGCTCCCTTTCCTCTTTCCTAATTTGTCCTTCTGGGTCTACAAACCCAACAGGGAGAGCGTAGAAAATCTCCAAGGGTTAGAACACAGAGCCTTGGTAGTACAGTGGTCTAAAGCACCCCTGTTATTAAGACCAGCTGCCTGCAATTACTGCAGGTTCGAATCTCGCCAAGGCTCAAGGTTGACTCAGCCTTCCATCCTTTCTAAGGTAGGTAAACTGAGGACCCGGATTGTGGGGGCAATAAGTTGACTTTGTATAAATATACAAAAGGATGAAGGCTATTGCTTAACGCATTGTAAGCCGCCCTGAGTCTCCGGAGAAGGGCGGCATATAAATCAAATTTAAAAAAAACAAAAACAAAAACCCCAAGGCTTTACTGCCGTCTGATCGCCGCAGAGACCTCACCATGCTCGGTTACCCTTCCGCCCCAACGACCCCCACAGCGGACCCCCACCCCGCCTCAATAACCTCTTCTCTCTCTCTCTCTCTCTCTCTCTCCTCTTTCCAGACGGTGCGCGTCCAGGGCAATGACATTTCGCACCGGCTGCGGCTGTCGGGGGTCCGGCGGCAGGACGAGGGCATCTACGAGTGCCGGGTGTCGGACTACGGCGACGAAGACACGCAGGAGCATAAAGCCCAGGCGGCGTTGCGGGTCCTGCCGCGTTTCTCGCCTCCCGACGTGCAGGCGGCCGAAGCCGTCTCGCACATCCAGAGCAGCGGCCCGCGGAGAAGCAGCCCGCCCGGGCGAGCCACGGCCGAGCCCGGTTTGGGAGACAAGCGCCTCCTACCGGCGCAGGGTGAAACTGCCGCTGCGGCCGCCGCTTCCTCCTCCCTCTCTTCCTCCTCTTCCTCCTCCTCTTCTTCTTCTTCTTCATCCTCGGCGTCTTCAGCGTCCGCCGCCTCTTCCTCTTCCTCTTCTTCCAGCCCCGCCACCGTAGCGGCGCGGCGGCGGCGGCGGCAGCCTCGTCGGCCTCTCCTCGGCCAGCCTCCGCGATCGTCCTCCCGCAGCAGCGAGGATCAGGTAGGTGGAGCCGCAGCGACACCCGGCGGCGCGTGGCGGAAGCGCAGGGGAGCTGTCCGTGGTGCTGAGCGCCGGCTTGATTGGGCGGCCCCGTAAGGCGCGTCCAGACGCAGCTTGCTCTGGCTTGTTCAGCCGGAAGACTCGCTCCTTTGCTGCTCGGTTGGAGTTCTACTTGAGCTCGTCTTTTTGTGACCCGCACAATCCTCCTTTGATGGTTCAGATGAACAGCCCTCTTGTTTCTATTTGGGATGCTCTTCTATGGAAGCACAGGGCAGGATGTGGGTTGGCTTTGCCCGCCACTTTAGGAAATGGTTTGGTTTTTTTAAAATTTGATTTATATGCCGCCCTTCTCCGAAGACTCAGGGCGGCTTACAATGTGCTCAGCAATAGCCTTCATCCTTTTGTATATTTATACAAAGTCAGCTTATTGCCCCCACAAACTGGGTCCTCATTTCACCTACCTTAGAAAGGATGGAAGGCTGAGTCAACCTTGAGCCTTGGCGAGATTCGAACCCTGCAGTAATTGCAGGCAGCTGGTCTTAATAACCAGCTTAATAACAGGGTGCCTTAAACCCCTGTACTACCAAGGCTCTTGGGTTAAGCTGGGAAGAAAGCAATCGACCCAAAGGTCTATGGAGATTCTCAGTCATCCGGGGCATCGTTGTCCCAAAGGTGCTTTTTCAAGAGGCAACTGGACTTTCTGGTTTTTCTTTGAAGACGTTTCACTTCTCATCCAAGAAGTTTCCTCAGCTCCTTCTATTCCTCACCATCCGGTCAGAGGTGAAGAAGCTTCTTGGATGAGAATAGCAATAATCAACCTTGAGCCGGTGGGACTTGAACTGCTGAACTGTTGGCAATCAGCAGTCAGAAGAAGAAGCCTGCAGTAGCCTGCAGTACTGCACTCTAACCACCATGCACCATGCTTTGAAGCAAAACATCTTCAAAGAAAAATGAAAGTCCAGTTGCCCCTTGAAAAAGGGCCTTTGGTACCATTGACCCAAAGTTGTCCTCTGAGTTTGGGTGGATTTGGGTGGAAGCTGGGTCTTCCATCCCAACATTGTATAACCATAGGTCACCTTGGCTCTCAGTATGAACTCAATATATTTTCCCAATAACTTTCCATTCAAATAGGAAGCCTTAAATAATTTTCAATGTACATTTTCTTCCCCAGGTTGCCTTGCGCTAAATTTCAAAGAATTTAGCCTGATGAAGTTAGAAAGTGTTTAAACTGAAAAGGACAAAAATTGGGCATGGCTTGTGATACATTGTGTTTGAGTCATGTCCAGAAATGTTCTTTTTGAGGAGGGATGGAAATGGTTCTTTGAAGGATGAAAATATTTCTGTGATTGGGTGGTGTTTTAAGACTTCGAATATATTTCTTTCAATGAAGCTCTTACCCTATGAATATTGCCGTAGAAAACCTCTTAGTTGATCCAAGAGAAAGCTTTGTATTTCTCACAGCTGGATAGTAAGTGAATGTAATGCTTTAAAAGGTCAGCTGAGTACTTGCCTCCCTAGGACTCACTATAGAAACAATATAGACTCATTGTACAAAGAAAACTATATTACAAATTATTATATAAAGCATTTCCCCGAAGCACTAATGTAGCATTAACCAGTAATGGTAATAATAGCAGAGAAGCCACTTGGTTCTTTCATAGAACTTATTGCAACAGTTCTGTGGATTTATTTTCAAATATCAGCAAGATCATAATTACAGGACATCACTCTATTTGAATGTATATTCATGCAATTCCTCAGTCTTCCCCTTCCATATTTATAATACAGGTAGTCCTCGACTTACAACAATCCATGTTGCTAAGTTGACAACTTGCAGTGATTCACTTTAACAATTCTGGCAAGAAAAGTCATAACATGGAGCAAAACTCACTTAACAGAAATGTTGGGCTCAGTTGTGGTCAGAAGTCGAGGACTGCCTGTCTGTATACATTATAATGAGTAATGTTATATTTTAGGCCCACTGCAAATACTGCGAGGAGGAAAATGTCCTCTTGTGAAGGCATTCAAGAGCCATGGTGGCGCAGTGGTTAGAATGCAATATTGCAGGCTCATTCTGCCGAATGCCAGCAGTTCGATCCTGACTGGCTCAAGGTTGACTCAGCCTTCCATCCTTCCGAGGTTGGTAAAATGAGGACCCAGATTTTGGGGGCAAGATGCTGATTCTGTAAACTGCTTAGAGGGGGCTATAAAGTACTGTGAAGCGGTATATAAGTCTACGTGCTATTGCTATTACTATTCATTTAACTGTGCTTCTCGTGATCAGCATGTTTTATTTAAGGAAATAAGTTCAATCAGTCTTCAAAGAGGAGCGATTATTTATTTTGAAGTGTGATTAGGATTAGAATGTACAGTTTAGACTGGGATTTCAGAATAATAGAAGGGAAATAGGCAGAAGGTAGAAATGTTAAGAAAAGAAAACATTCTTATCTGTGACTGTGTTGGATTCATATCCTTAGCTTTTTTTAAAAAAAAAAAATTGATTTATATGCCGCCCTTCTCCGGAGACTCAGGGTGGCTTACAATGCGTTAAGCAATAGCCTTCATCCTTTTGAATATTTTTACAAAGTCAGCTTATTGCCCCCACAAACTGGGTCCTCAATTTACCTACCTTAGAAAGGATGGAAGGCTGAGTCAACCTTGAGCCTGGTGAGATTCGAACTTGCAGTAATTGCAGACAGCTGGTGTTAATCACAATGCTATCAGTCTGCTGAGCCACCAGGCAGCTTATGTACTCTAAAAGTCAAAAGTGAGATTTGTAAGTATCAGGTTATCTCTTCATTTCCCTCACTAGATGGATGTAATGTATATACTACTAAAACTTCTTGTGCTTGTTTGATTATTTGTAATCTTCAACTGGTGAAATAGTGCATCATAGGGCAACAAATCTTGAAACAACATGCCTCAATGGGCCTAACTTACAGAATGCAACCAAAATCAAAGTTGGCAGTAAGGACTGGAAATAGCAATCGCATGACTGTGGCTGCCACCCTGAAGCCATCACACTTCTAGTGGGATAGAAATTTAGAAAAGTTGTGGATGGCTTCGGTGGACAGCCACAGCCACAGTGGATTGCCATTTCCAATGCTTGCTGCCAACTTGCCACAAGGAAAGTCAATGGGGAAGCCAGCAGGAAATTGGAAGCTGCTTCCATTCCCACTGCTTTTTTTGCCTGACCTTGGTCATCTACTTAGGTATGGAAATATCTCTGAAACTATGATCCAGTGCAGTGGTGGAATTCAAATTTTTTACTACCAGTTTTGTGGGCGTGGCTTGGTTGGGCGTGGAGTGGCTTGTGGGCGTGGCTTGGTGGGCATGGCAGGAGAAGGATACTGCAAAATTCCCATTCCCTCCTGACTCCTGGGAAGGATATTGCAAAATCTCCATTCCCGCCCCACTCCTGGGGGAAGGATATTGCAAAATCTCCATTCCCTCCCCACTCCAGGAGAAGGATACTGCAAAATCTCCATTCCCAACCCACTCCTGGGGGAAGGATATTGCAAAATCTCCATTCCCTCCCCACTCCAGGAGAAGGATACTGCAAAATCTCCATTCCCAACCCACTCCTGGGGAAGGATATTGCAAAATCTCCATTCCCAACCCACTCCTGGGGGAAGGATATTGCAAAATCTCCATTCCCTCCCCACTCCTGGAGGAAGGATAGTGCAAAACCTCCATTCCCACCCCACTCTGGGGCCAGCCAGAGGTGGCATTTGCCGGTTCTCCAAACTACTCAAAATTTCCGCTACCGGTTCTCCAGAACCTGTCAGAACCTGCTGAATAGCACCCCTGATCCAGTGGATCATGCGTTATCTAGTGGTTTATAAAGGTGTCCATTTTGTAATAGGTAGCAAGTCCTAAGAATGGAACCCACAGTCTGGGTCAGCACAAAGTGTGTAGAAGCAGAGATGGACCTTCATCTTGCAATCGAAGAACACATCTTTTTTGGGGTGGGAGGAGGAAGTTTGGAAGATAATGGTCTATATACACCATAACTTACAAAGGCATTCATGGCTTAGGCCTTTAGGACAGTTGCTCCAGATCGAATCTACCCACCCAAAAGCAATTTAGCTGGAAGAGGGTGCCGTGCGTACCCACTCCCTGAGAAATCATATGTCAGGTATGAAAGTCCAGATCCACACATGAAGTTCAATTAAACTGATGTATTGCTGTAGCCTATGCACAAAAGTATTCTCAACAGTCAGCATCTGGCGAGAGTTAGATAAGGGTCAACGGCACTCAAGGATTGTTGGCTTTAGTTTGTTGTGGCTACATAGGGATTCTAGGCTGATTCCTCTTTTCACCCTGCCCCCAGGTTCTGCCACCCCTTCTCCCACCTCATGAGAGTACAGTAGTGGCCAAAATTGTGGAAACCTTTTGGGAAAAGTGTATTTTTGATGGCTAATAACACCACTTTTTTTTGGGAGTTTCAAGATAATTCTATTCCATTGCTGGAATGGCCTGGGAATAGCCCAGACCTTCACCCAATTAAAAATCTATGGAGCCAATTAAAGAAACTTGTTAGTCAGAAGCGATCCAACAATAAAACCTGGTTAATAGAAGCAATCATTCAATCTTGGTTTCACATTAGAACAGCTGCAGAACTAAAAGACTTGGTTCACTCCATGGGAAGATATTGTAAGGCCATAATTCATGCTAAGTATTAACTGACATGGTGATAATTTTTGTACATCTTATTTTTTCTATGGTGATAATTTTTGTATATCTCGTTTATTCTATGGTGATAATTTTTGTATATCTCGTTTTTTCTACGTGTTTCATTTTTCTTCTTTATACTGTAACTGCTGTTCTAATAGCAAATCCTTCATAAAAGTTATTGCATTACATTCTTGATTAAATTATCTTTCCATTGATATATAATTTTATGGTACTACTCCCCCAAAAAAGCGGTGTTATTAGCTAGTTTTAGAAAATACACTTTTCCCAAAAGGCTTCCACAATTTTGGCTGCTATTGTAGGAT